AAAACTTTAATTCTTGTATTCTACCAAGGCAAAATCTTTATTCACTCAGTTCACTTCTTGCTCAAACAGTCATCACACACATAAAGACTGGAATCACACTCCTATATCTGTCACAAGCCGTGCTGTTTCAGGAATGTTGTGTTCTCAAAAACATTATTTTGTCCTTTTATTTTGTGCAAGTTATATGCCTAGACTCAAAAAGGTCATTTTGAAGGCGAAAATTAAGTGTAGTATCTCATTGAATAAAAAAAATGTTAAACATTATTTTTTACAGAATTTGAATAACAATAATTTTGGACATTTGGAGTATGAACTAATTGTGTGTCAACACGAAATTGCTGAATCCAGATGATGGGAAAGATGGAAAGAACAAAAAACCTGACAGGAAAGAGTCCCAGTCTGCACAGACAAAGGGGGATAAGAAGGGAAAAGGGAGAAAAGGCTCGCTGTCTGGGGCTCACTTTAGTCTTGAGAACCCAGATGACACTGGTATGAAGAAGGATTGGAAAGAGTTTTATCGTTGTCAGTTTCTTGTGCAAATGAAATTTCCCCTTTGACCTTTTGGTTTTTCTGTATGAATGATTTGGAAAAGTTTTTGAATGCCCCTTAGCCTATTTTACTGTCTGGAGGAATGCACATGCCTACTTTTTACTATGTTACATAGATGCAGGTTTCAGATTCTTATTCCACTCCAGATTACAATATATAAAGTGAAGTTTAGTTATATCTTTCATGTAGTCATTTATATGTAAAAATGAGTAACTTATATATGTAAAGATGAGGAAATGACACTTAAGAAAAACCATCTTCTGTAGATTTTTGTTAAAGTTCAAGGTCTCTGCAACATTGTCATGAAAAGTGCCAATCACTTGAACAACTGAAAATGCTTTTTCAGCTGATCTTGTCGGAGAAGATAAACAGGCTATAAATATTTAGTTAGGGCGGTTTCTTTGAGGATACAGTGACATGTTCCTGTGGGTAGCTTAATTATGAGACCGCAGAAAATTGCCTTGTTTGCTGCACTGGTGAATGTAGCACATCAGGCTTGTAATCCAGAATTTCCAGACTCGTAAATGTAGCAATTGAAAGGCACTGGGGATAACTTGTTCCAACATCATGTGTGTAAGTAACGTGATAGTTGACGTTGCGTTTGTTTGCTGATTTTCAGCATTTTTTTTCTCTTCAAAATTAAAGAGGTAGTAGATGAAAAGAATTCTGTCATATGGAGGAAGGAGGAAAAATCAACTGAGAAGATGGATATTTTAGATACGAATTTTATGGTATTTTGCTGTGTATTTTTTTTTCTTTCTTAACTAATGCAATATTGTGTACAATGAAAATGTAACCATTACTATTTCAAGAACATAGACATCCTTGATTAATTATGGGTATTTGCTGTAATACTACCATGATATCTAATCATGGAATTTAATTTTTTAATTGAAGATTTTTTATTTTTTGTTTTGGTCTATATGAAAATACTGCATGCTACTGATGTATCAGGACCAGTTAGTCCCCTTCCCTTACTCACCCTCCTCCTTTCGTGGACTTTTGAAGTTAACTCACATTTTTCCTTAGAGACAAGGTTTTGCCCAATCTATTCAATCAATGTTAAAATGAAAAACATAAAGTTAATATTTTTAATTAATATACAGTGATAGATATACACTGACACTATTTTAATGAAAAAGAGACTCATTCATTTGTTTTAAATTCTTTGTTTTACTAATTCATAACATAATGATAATAAATAGCTTTTTTATAGCAGATATCCAAGCTCACCAGCAAGCTCTATGCAATTTGCAATCTATTTTATTACCCTAGCAGACTTTAGAACAGAAACATTCTCCCCTTTCAGGAAGCATAACTAGCAGCTGATTAAGCTCTCGAATACTAACAAGCATCAATACTTTTTGCCAACAGGCTCTAGGCTTATTGGAATATGACTTGTTTCTTATGAGTCCTTTATTCATTTCCATAGTCATGTTTGTTGTACTGACCCATGCCATTTCTGCTGATACATTTTTAGGCACAGACGGTGGACTCGACTTTGGAACTATCAAGGTCAATGAAGAGACCAAACAGACGTGCACACTGAAGAACAAGGGAAAATATGAGATTTCTTTCAAGTATGTTATTTTATTTCCTTTCTTTTTTTTTGTGATTTTTTTTTTTTGTGAACAAAAAATGAGAATACTGGTCTGCTGTTAAGAATACTGGCTTTGTGTCCATTCTGTGTTTATTAAAAACTTGAGTAAAAAAGAAGGTAGCATCTGTCTGGAAGTACTGATTTTGTCTGTTATTTTGCTGAACAGCATGGATCCTCACTGTCCAAAAAGACGTTTAATTCCCCCTTCGTTGAACAATCATGTCCAAATGGTCACTCTGCTGATGGTTTGGATTATTAGAACAAATATCCTTAGGTCCAATGCTTGTTCATACGGGATTGTGTCAGGTCGGGTAAAAGGGCTGGCTAGTGCACACTGTGTCAAATGTCTTCTGTTTTGTTAAACAAAGATAGTAAATAACAAGATGGGCCACTCAGCTAAAAAAGTGTCCGCAGGAAGTATGCTCTTTGCTTCAGATGGCGCTGCAGTCTGTTTTGAAGCTTTCTTTCGTTTTTCCAGAAGAAGAATAGGAATAGCACCTCCTTGCGTACGCAGATCGACTGCTGTTCATCAGCAGTTCGGGTTCGTTCAGTACGGAGTTTTAGTTTGTTAAAATTTTAATGACCTCTCGCCTTTCATTCTAAAGTCAAATTAAACGAAGAAAACAATCACCCTTTCTTCCGGAAGAGGTTTTTTGTCAGTGTAACCATTCAAAAAAAGCGTTCTTCCGAAATTCATTCAAAAACTTGCTAGTTTCACTTTGATTTTTTTAACTCAAGTAGGATAACTCTGTTCGCTACAGGTGCGCTTTTGCGAAGAGGGCGCCACCGAATTTTGAGGACACTTTTTTAATTGGCTCAAAGAGAGAAGTGGCCCCTCTTGTTATGTAGACTCTTTGTGTTAAATCAAGTTTGACGCGGTAGTTCATTAGGGAAGTCCATTAGGGCCTATCGCGTTCAGCTGATTTGGAAAGCAAACAAAAGATCTATTCAAGATAAGATGAGAATTTTTTTTTTTCACCAATGATGCAAGGCAAAAAATAACATGCTTTTAGATTATACCAATAACTCCATATGCCCAAAGATTGAGGAGCTTCTAATTCCACCGTGTTGTGACACATATTTTATTGATTGGGATCTCTGTCTTTTTGTAAGAATGCTAATGTCCCTGTCAGTGTTGACTGATCCTCACAGGACTGTTGAAGTAGCACACCCCTTAAATTATCTAAGTTATTTCCATAACAGGGTTAAACATTGACCATGATTTGATTTTTATGGATTTGATTTTTGTATTCCCAGTTTCCTGTTAGAGAATGTCGATCCAAAAAATCCAGACGTCACTTCTCTGTTTGCTGTCGTGCCAAACAGTGGGAAGCTCAGTCCTTTGGATAGACCCACACAGGTTAATATGCCCTTTGTTTTTGGAACTGTTCTATTGTTGTATATGCCATTGGAATAGAGCTGTAATGATAAAGAACTTTCCTGTTTGAGCTTAACAAACAATCTGGAGTTTGTTATTCAACTAAAAAAAAGAGTTATCTGTGAAGGTTATGGTTCGTGGATTTATTTTAAAATCAGAAAACGTATCAGTTTGATTATACTTAACACAGTGATAAATAAGTTAAAATGACCAACATTAAGTACTGTAGACCTAGTTGTGCAAAGTGAAATCAATATTAATTGATACTTTTGATTTTTTTAAATGTATTAACGCTAAATTTTGGGGAAAGTTTAACAACGCTTCTCCCCTATTCTGGATAAAATTAGAACTTGTATAAATTAAAAGTTCTGTTCTTAATGTTAAAAGTCAATTTAAATGAGGTATCTTTATGTCAGAAATGACACCAACATGCATATGTTGCTGTATTTGATTTTGAGTATTCAGTTGTTTTAATCTTTTCATATTTGGTATGGAATCTTAGGTGCAAGTAATCTTCAAATCCTCCCGAGAAGTTGTTGTCAAGGATGTACCTATTCTAAAATGTCAAGTTATTGAGCCAAATTTGGGAGAACAAGGAGAGATGATTGCAAGCATCCCAGTGAAAGTCTCAGTGAAAGCAGTTTTCAGCAAGTGAGTTCTCTCCCCTATGCAGACTTGAGTGATTCAAAGTAGCTGCTGGCTGTCATTAACAAGCTGTGATGTAAAGCAGCTCTTACTGTCTTTAAAAAAAAATTATTATTCATGTACTCATTTATCAAGCTAAACAAGAAAATAATACATAGGCGCACTTTGATAAAAAAAACTACAAATAATTGATTTAAACTTATTAATTGAAATGTTTAGACTCTCGCTTGCACTCACAATATTTCAATGTACTTTTTACTTTTTGGAAACATCTTTGTGGTTCTGAGATCATTTGTTGCTCTTAAATATAGTCAAGAATGATAAAATCACCTCAGAAAAGAGTTTGCCCTTTTTTTCATTTTGATACCCTCTGCTCTATGTGTGTATTCTCGTGGCGTCGGTGGCCGAGTGATTAGGCTCTCGGACTCGCAACCGTAAGGTCGTGGGTTCAAATCCTGTCAGGGGCCCGATGTTGTGTCCTTGGGAAAGGCACTTTACACGAATTTTCCTCACTTCACCCAGGTGGGAATGGGTACCCGGCTATAGACAGTGAAAGATCATGTCAGTTTATTAGTGTTTGAGCGCTTAATTAGCTGCTTGCACTGTATGCTTCCCGGGAAGCTGAGAATGTTTCGGAGTGTTCTATGGTCTGCTGGGGTAATAATATAGTGTAAAGCGCATAGAGCCTGCTGTTGAGCGGGGATATGCGCTATACAAATGCTATTTATTATTATTTAATACAAAATCACCTGTTGATATTTGTTTTCATTATTTCCCTACTAGGTTCAATATCAGTCCTACTAATGACATCAACTTTGGTTCACTGCTGGTGAACAGCAAGAAGACTCGCACTTTTATGATTGAGAACAAGGGCGAGTTTGACTTCAAGTACACCATCTCGAAGAAAGAGAAGGAGTCCAATGCTCAGCAGAACTTCCGACCAAACAGGCCGTGAGTAGTCTTCAGAACTTTTATACTTTTCACAGTGATAAGTGATAAGACATTGGTTATATCATGCTAACATTCTGGATTGGTCCTCTGGGCCCTGAACATCTGATGAAAGGATTGTGGGTTTGATTCTTTACTGCACGATCAGGGTATTATTTTTTTCAGATACATGTTATTTCTCTTTCCCCACTGCACTTCTATTATCTATTGGTGGTGGCCAAATTTTGCTATTCAAAAAGCTTTTTAATGGCTGCATCAATCGACATTCGGTTTTCGGCAAAAGATTCTTTAAAATATTCTCCAGATCGTGACGCCCTTCGTTTTTTCAGTTTTGAGACAGTTTTTCTGCAAAAAATTAATTTTTTTTATTTCCCTCGCTTTAGTAGGCCGACGCTTCTGTCTCTGTAATTTTAGAACATCCGCCAGGTTTGTTTGTTTCAAGTCGTACTTCCGTTCAATACTATCACGCATTGTCGCGCAATGCTGAGCACTATTTTAAGTGTGCGACCCGTATAGATCTAGTCTCATGTTTTCTTTTTTTACTTGGTGCTAAATTTGACTGCAATCCTTTTGTTTAATGCCCATAAAATAACTGTGGTTTAGAATCATTTAAAGGGTGCACAGTTATATTAAGGAGTCTGAAGTCACTGTAGTTTAATTTTCAGTTTTTCTTTAGTTTCATTTAGATCTAATCTTGGGAAAGTCCGTCTTCTAAGACGCCATTGTAAACAAGTGAGGCTTCCGTTCACAAGGAGTGCATACTGATCCCTCAATGACTTGACGACCGATTCTTTTGAGCCCGTTCATCGAAAGGGAAACCCAGCTAGTTTATTGCTATGGGGCCCTGTCTTTGTTGATGTGGCGAGCAAATGTTTTCTCACAGCGCAGCAAGATTTGTGATACATATATCAAGTCACAACACTATTTCCAGTTTAAGCATGGAAAACGTTTTGTAAGATGGCAGATTAGAAATATAAATATACATTTTAAAATGTGTATCCTACTGTTGCCTTTAAGTAGTTTTGAAAGTTTGTGGTGCGTAATGGTTGGGTTTTGTTCTACTTATCTTCCTGCATACCTTCTTGTAAGCCTATCTGTCAGATCTTTGTCTTTGTTTCTGTCTGTCTATCTTGTGCTCTTGCTTGTAGCACTCTTAGATTAGCTCATGCCTTTAAGAAAAAGATTTATGTTACAGCTCAAAATTTGTAACTTTACATTTTCAGATCTGTAGTGGAAAAAAACGTTAATGAAAACAAAAGAAATGTGAAGTATGTTGTTTAATTTTGCTGTTCAGTTTTGAGCTTTTTTGTTTTGTTTCTTGCTTTTCTTTTTGCAAGTCTGCTCAAATTTGTTTGTATGTTCAAATGGAATTATGTCTGTGAGGTAAGCCTCTTGCGTCATGCTATTTTTTGGTGTGATTTTAAATGATTTAAATTCCCCTTTTGTTCTGAATTTAGACGTGCCGTTTAGATACCAGTTCAAGCAGACTTTTTAGCTTTGTTGAGTTGCATCTGTAGTTTTTTCTTCGACTACTTAATTTCCTTTACTTGAGATTTTTTGTAACAAATGACATGTTTTGTTGTTCATTGTCAGTAAATCTCAATAATAATTTTTAAAAGCATTACATCAGTGTCCAACTTTAACAGTGTATCCACCATATTAGGTCGAACACCTTTTTGGAAAAAGAAATGTAATTCCTTTCTTATTATCTTTTAGAAATGCTCAGTATTTTGTTAAAAGTGGTTTTTTTTACTGTCACCAATTGTAATTATGGTTACGTATGATATAATTCAAAACAAAAGGGGTGTTTGACCTAATTTTGTTGAGGATACTTGATCAGAGTCGGGCACTCATGATAACATTCCTTATCTGTCATACTTACTGTCAAGTTGCTATTGAATTTTAGGTCTCCAATTCCCAAGCTAATAGCTCTACCCCCTGAGTAGATTGTGTGTGGCTGCTTCTTCAATTGTTTTCTTCATATCACTTTTCTTGTATCAGAATCTTTCATCAAGTGCATAGTTTGCAACAAATGTTACATTCAAATGCTTCATATGTTGTCAATGTGTTTCTCTTCATCTGCAAGTTGAAATTCATAGACAAAGTATCAAGTTAAACTTAATCTAAAATCTCTGTTGAAGTTACATTGATTCCATCAGCCTTATATACTGCAAACTCTAATGAAAAGTTATGGCATACAGCTTTACTTATTTTCCACAAACTAAGTATAAGGAAACTCTCATGGGAAAACTATTGACAATGGCATTTACTTTAACCTGAAAATCTTTTCTTTTTCTGCCAATTTGCAGAACTGTCAAGGGAGACAAGAACAGCAAGTCAAGGGATGACTCCAGCTCAGCCCCATCCATCAAGCCAAAGAAAGCAGATTCTGTCAGGTACGTTAGCCTCACTTTTGACTTTGTTTCCCTATGTGCCATGGCAGACAGTGTCTGTGTGACGGGTCAGCGAAGGTGTTAAAAGTGTTTTTTGGAGGGTATATTTTGCAGTGTGTTTAATATCAGGATAAATCCGGAACTCGGGATTCCAGTAATTGTTTGGATTTCCCGACTTCAGGCCAATCATTGGGAAGCTTTTACACTTTTATAAAAGCAGTCTTGATATAAAATGTATTACACAACACCCCCTCACACACCC